TGAAACACCACATGTCGCGAGATGTATATCCGCCTGTGAGTTATATCAAAGCACTTGTAGCCTTTGTGCTGAGTGGAGTATCCTACAAAGATACATCGTTGAGACCGGGGGAGAGTTTGTTGGGCGCATACGGTTTGGTCCAAGGAAAACAAAGACATCCGAACGTGCGCAGATGATCATAGGATGCTTGGTTGCCGTGAAGATGGAAATAGGGAGTTTGATCTTGAAGTGCTGATGTAAAACCCCTCATATTTTCAATTTTTTTGAGTGCTGTTAGTCCGTACGAACTGACTTTAGTACGGGAAGAAATGAAGAAAATTGTGAAAATCTGTATGGTTAGTATGTACGAACTGCCTGTACGAACCTAAGTTCGTCCGTACAAACCTGAATTCGCCTGGACAAAATGTATTCAGAGAGAAAATCGTCCTAGGACGAATAGGATTTGTCCCATATAGTCCTGCTTGATAAATATCTGATTTTGAGATATTTTGAAGAAAGAGAAAGTTGGAGAGAGAAAGAGAAGGAAAACGAAGGAAAAAGGCTTGGTTTTGGAGGCCGCGGAGCAATTTTTGTCCAACGCCGCTATTAGAAGAATTGTTTGTCTCACAGTAAGGAATCCAAATCCTATTTCTGATTTCAAAGATTTTGTGTTTTAATATTTTTCTGCTCAGTTTTGTGTTTTTGTTATCGAAATTCTTGCATATCTTTGTATTAATGAAATTTTTACCGCGTAACTTTTGGTATGTTGTTAAATTAATGATTTTGCATGATTTGAGTATTTTCTATAAAATTTTCACCGGGTGTTTTGAATTCTGATGTATTTTTATCGAATAGTAAATTATCTGGATGTTGGAAAATATTACTTCAGTACAAGTAAAGCTTTGAAATGTTATTTTTTTTATTTCTAGTAATTTGGTGATTTTCTGAAATTGTGTATTTTGTCTCTGTTTAGGATTTCTGTCGATTGTACGATATTTTAAGAATTTTTTTCGATTGAGTTAAATTGTGTTTGTTGATTGCAATGTATTACTACGAATGTGGATATATGAGTGAATTACTGTTATATATATCACTGAAAGACAAGTGAAGACTGGTTGAACCGTTGGTTGAAATTGATTTGACCTATACAGGATGGTGGGCCGACGGGCTTTCATTTAAAAAGGGTTTGGTGTTATCCTCTATTGATCATTGATACAACGATTGGGAGTCATAAGGAGATTATGCCCATATTAGCCTGCTGCATTTGATTCATTGCTAGTATAGATTGAGCTTTATTGTATTGCTTTTCTAATCAATTTTATTGACTAGATAATATTGATTTGATCGATTGATTTTCTTCTGTGTACGGATTATTCTGAGAATCGACATATTGATTTATTGAGTTTGATTTATCGATTCTTCTATCGCTGCCTCGACTATTGATTTCATTGACTACGGATTTTCATATTGCATAGACTTATTGACCATTGACTGTTATGGATTTGATTGACTGACATGCATATTGATAGCAGTACCGTGCTTTGATTTCAGTTGTAGGCTTTGGTGACCTACTGGACTTTTTGAAGCTCATTATATGTGGTTAATATTTTTCAAGTCCGAGCAAGGCAACTGGAATGGAGTTCGATCAGAATATCAGACGAATCCTTTCACTATGGATGCCTGGGGCGTCACAAAATTGGTATCAGAGCAAGTGTAGTGAAAGGATTTGATTGATAGTTTGATAGAATGGATTGTTTCACGTGCATCGTTTTGCATACATATTGAATGACATGTGATTGACTGGATTGT